ACATGACATAGATACTGAATATAGGATATATATATATATATATATATATATATATATATATATATATATATATATGAAGGTATTTTGGAGATCACAGATTTCTTTGGAAACTGATTAGACTTAGATTGTTTTAGCCTTTATTAAACAAGCATAAGTACACTTGAAGGCAGCAATATTTAGGCTACTGCAATAAAAAGAGGCAACTTTTCATTGTAACTGGGACAGCAATAAATAAAGTCACGTCATGCAGCTTGACAAATCTTTTTAATATTATTTAGATATATTAAAATGAAAGTAACATTTAATGATATTTAGGTGTTTTGGATATCACATTCTTTTGCAAACTGATAAAGTTTATTCATCCATATGAAACTATAATAATTTTTTTCATCTTGCTTAGTACAAGTCATTATTCTGAACCATTTATACAGATTTCAATTTATGAGCATTCATGTGTCATTCACATTAAGAGTTGATCCCTGAGAAATTGCTGAAACCCTCAAAAAATCTGCATACACTATGTCAGTTATCAGATATCTTCTGTGAGTATTGTCTATGTGAACCACAGACATCAATTGGTAAATTTAAATGTAAAGTAAGCTATTGACAAAAACTATTGACAAAAAAGGATATGAAGCACAGGTTTGTTTTTTGTTGTTTTACCTCTGTAAAAATTATTTATTTGTTATTCAGAGTGATGGAAACGGATAGAAAAAATAGATTTCTGTGATTCCCTCTAATGAACAACATTAGTACAACGTGTTCGTCGACAATTTTGAGTTGGAAAATAATTCTTTTTAGATTTCCTCTTAAACCATTGGACTGATTCTCATGAAATTGTGCATGCATCATCTATAGACAATAATGACAAAAAGTTATCAAAATAATTTTAATTAGTCAAACCGTTTAGAAGACATAAGCCAATTAATTTTGTAGCCATGGCTCCATACACTTATTAAATTATATCTTCCATTTGATGAATCCACATTCTTTTGATAACTTTTTGTCAACAGGGTCTCTAGATGATACATACAAAATTTGGCATTAACTGGACAAATGAGTTTGAAAAAGTAGGTTTATGGCCCATGACGTCACTACCGGTGCGACTATAGTATAAATAGGCGCCGGGAGAACACATCATCCACTTCTTCATCTGAAGCATGGCAGGATACCTAGAGGACACAGTGTCTCGTTCCCTACTCAGGGAACCATGGTTACATATGTAACCTGAGACGTTCCCTTTCAAGGGAACATCGAACTGCGTCCTCTAGGGGTCGCTATGGGTAACGGTATACCCACGCCACCATGCTGAGGGGAGTGCATGCCAGAAACCATGGCGAGCACAAAGTACCAACTCTACCATAGCCATGTGAGTTGCCCCAGGGATGTTAGGACGGCTATCAGTGACATTATCCCCTACGGCCAAAGGCCTAGGCTACATACCCCAAAAACTTACCCGTTAGGGCCAGAACTCCTGGGCCCAGGGTAGAGCTCAAGGCTTGGAATCAGGAATAGATTCCTTTAAGGGAATATGACCAAGAGCCTAGAACCATACTAAGTCTTGGCCTGTCACACAGGGGCTACCGCATGCTCTGCATATGCTGAAGGAACTGTCTCAACAGACCCCTAGTAGCAACACCCTGTTAAAAGTGGGTATCCGGAGGATACATAGGTGGAGTGGAACCGGGGCTTAACCAGCTCAAGAAAGGGCACGAAGCTGCCGTGCGAAGCCCTCACCATACAGGATTTTAGAAAGAACGCAAAGTACTAGCATGCGAACTTACCACAGTGTGGATTTTAGAAAGTGTACAAAGCCACGGAAATGCACGCTTCAAACAAAACAGTCAGTGAAGATGAAGAAGAGAATGATGTGTTCTCCCGGCGCCTATTTATACTGTAGTCACACCTGTAGTGACGTCAAGGGCTGTCGCCGGCCAACGTGTTGTTGGTGTTTTTTCAATGTATGCTTCAGACACGGGTCACGACGAGGCGTTCCCCATAGCGACCCCTAGAGGACGCAGTTCGAAGTTCCCTTAAAAGGGAACCAAGATATACAGTACGTTTTGTTCAGTTTGTCTCAGATACATTTTTTTTATTTTAACATTTATGGTTGCGGAGATATGAGAAAAAAATTAAAAGTACTGATTATAGCACCATCTATGGTCCAACCGGGGTCTGCATGCACCTGAGTGGACCACATAAGAATAACATAAAATCTAATCTAAACATTTTAAAGAAAATTATGAGTCTAGCAACAGATCAATTGGACAAGCAACGGCAGAACAGAACAAAATTGGCAAAAATCATGAATATCTTGATGAAGATGATGTTGATGATTATGCTGAATATGAAAAAGAACAATGACGTAGGAGAAAGATGACAATGTGAGAATATGAAAAATAAATAAAAGTTGATAGATGTCTTTAGTTTTGATGAAGTTGAGATGAAGTTTTTTAAAAATCCATGGATTTGTTACGAACGAGGAGGAGAAAATAATTTTGATTTGAGTCAAGCAGAGAATGAGGGTGGCAGAATCAAATAAAATTAATTTTTAATGCTGAATAATGTAGAAACTTTCTATCTGTCTAGATGAAGAAGAGAATGATGTGTTCTCCCGGCGCCTATTTATACTGTAGTCACACCTGTAGTGACGTCAAGGGCTGTCGCCGGCCAACGTGTTGTTGGTGTTTTTTCAATGTATGCTTCAGACACGGGTCACGACGAGGCGTTCCCCATAGCGACCCCTAGAGGACGCAGTTCGAAGTTCCCTTAAAAGGGAACCAAGATATACAGTACGTTTTGTTCAGTTTGTCTCAGATACATTTTTTTTATTTTAACATTTATGGTTGCGGAGATATGAGAAAAAAATTAAAAGTACTGATTATAGCACCATCTATGGTCCAACCGGGGTCTGCATGCACCTGAGTGGAGGAGATTTGGGACCATCCTGCCAAATTTGGTGTTTCTAGGACTTACGTTTTTGGCTGGCCAGACACTTTTAGGACAGAAAAAGAATAGTGATAAGAAGACGAAAATAATCAGTACAAATACAATAGGGTTCCGACACCTTCAGTGCTTGGACCCCTAATAGAGAGAGAATGATAATAAAAATGTGCAGTTTAAAACAAAGCATAGCACCACAGCATCAGCACATGCATTATATGTGCTTACGCAAGTGTCGTCAAACATGGCTCTTTTTCTGGACACCTCCGGCGTCAGTATTCCGGAGGGCGAGTTGGGTGAAGACGCTCCGCCCGACACTATCACCATGCCATTGCTGTCAACCACGTATCGTACTTTTCCATTAGACGGCAACAATATACGCGGCGTCAGACTGCTTTTGCTAAGAGTGCTGTAAAGCCGCTCGGATCGAGAGGGTAGAAACAGAGAGTCTCTTCGGCTGCCCGTCTCCTCACACATGCTTTGCTCGTCGTCAGCGTAGTTGTTTTCTGAATGCACACGCCTGCGGAAGCTGAAGATGCTACCTTTGCTGTCCCGACGTGGGGTGTGGATTGAACCCTGAAAACTCAGAGGGGACTGAGGAGAGAAAAGAGCCTTACAAATACACTGCCAAACAAATTAAGGCATATGAGGACGTAACCTGACTAACTGATGGAAGATATCCCAATTTACAACTTTTAACAATTTGCCGATCCAACTGTCCACCTTATTATCATATATAACTATAGCAATAACTACATAGGCATCCACACCAATGCATGGTAATTGTTTGTTTGTCAATGTTTTTATTATTTATGATTTGGAAAAAAAAATGATTCTAGTGATTTTGTTCCTCTGTGTCATTATCTCTATAGCTGTGATGTGGAGTGATTATTAGTGTAAGTTCATGGAAATCCTGTGTTTTTAAATTAATTTGTTAATTTTACAGTAATGATCCAAAAATATTGTAATTGCAATCTGTGTATTTAATTGTAGTTTTTAGTCATGCAATTACATAGTTTAGCAATTTCTTTAAAGAAAAATGGCAGATAGTGATGCTTTGCAATTCAAAATTTCAGCCCACATAAGAATAACATAAAATCTAATCTAAACATTTTAAAGAAAATTATGAGTCTAGCAACAGATCAATTGGACAAGCAACGGCAGAACGTTTATTCAGTTCATTATAGGTCATTTCATATTTTAAATGTATGTATGTATATATACAGTATATATATATATATATATATATATATATATATACACATAAAATATTATTCACTTCACTGGTACTTTTTTCCCCCACTAAAAATTACCATATGACCATTTTCTCCATTGTTTTTGGTGCAGAAAATGGGCCAATGATGATATTAAGACTGATCCATTCGCAATAAAAAGTCTTAATATATTACTATTTTCTTCATTTTTGCATTTAATATTCTTCATCTGTTAATGTATTTTATATGTAATTTTTATTTATTTATTTATTGCACAAAAATTACCATATGACCATTTCTTCATTGTTTTTGTGCAATAAATGTCCCTTAATAAATGACAATTTTCTTATTGGTCCATTTTTGGCACCAAAAAATATTGAAGAAAATTGTCATACATTAACACCAGAAAAGACCAGAAAACAGACTGACCATTTTCCATCCTCTCTCTGACCCATCGAATTAAATGGGACATGTTTTTTTTTTAATGGAGCAGTGCCAAGCCCCATGCAAATTAGTGAAATGTCAAAATGCCAGCAGAATTTGTGTATGTGCCAGAATAATAGTACATGTGGAAGGCACTGTCCTCAGCAAGCAGCGGTCCAGATTACCTCACTCCTATGATAGCTTTCCCCCATCCCGCTAAAGTACTTTCCAATGGATATCATATTTCACACCCCTATGAACAAGGTAGAATTCCTCTTCCTCTTTCTCTCAAAAAGGTTTTTCATTGCTGGAGCTAATGTAAACGTCCATAATGCTGAATGATGACAGCTGGCTGTCTGGCAGGTGTACAGATCACTTACACACACACACACACACACACAGGTTTGTTTTTATGGTTTATGGGGACTCTCCATAGGCATAATGGTTTTATACTGTACAACCCGTATTTTCTATTGCCCTACACTCTTAAAAATAAAGGTGCTTCACGATGCCATAGAAGAACCTTTTTTGTCTAAATGGTTCCATACAGAACCTTTAACATCTGAAGAACCTTTCTGTTTCACAAAAGGTTCTTTGTGGTGAAATAAGGTTCTTCAGATTACAAAAAGGTAAGAAAGAGATGGTTCTTTAAAGAACCTTTGACTGAATGGTTCTTTGTGGAACCAAAAATGGTTCTTCTATGGCATCGCTTGAAGAACCTTTTGAAGCACCTTTATTTTTAAGAGTGTACACCAACCCTACCCCTCACAGGAGACTTTCTGCATTTTTAGATTTTCAAAAAAACTAATTCTGAATTATTTATAAGACTTTTGAATTACGGGGACATTGAAAATGTCCTCATAAATCACCTTCTCGTTGTAATACCAATGTCATACCCATGTTATTATACAAATTTGTGTCCTCATAAACCACATAAACATGCACACACACACACACAATACTTGTAATTAGTATACTGGACCTGTCACTCTTCACTGCCTTTATATATAGGCCCTGATCGAAAGTTTTCTAAAACCTCTAGTCTCTTTGGATTACGCGATGTTGTGATACCCATATTATTTGCAATAACTTGTCACATACAGCAATAATATATGATTTCAATGTTCTGTACCATTTCTAAATCACTAATACAATAAGTAAATTAGTGTTGTACAGTCATTCATTTATATAATTTTATGTGGCTTTCTGCTGAAACACATGGATGCATGTATGCATTGGTGGATAAATGTATGGATGCATTTATGGATGTACTGATGCATGTATGGATGGAGCAAAATTCATGTTTACCAACAGTTACACTTTTTGTTGGAAACCTTGGTCCAACATTGTTTTTGTGCCTTGTTTAAATATAGTTTTCAGGGCTCGAAGAACTCTGAACGCTCGCAGGGCGGACACACTACCCAGATCCACAAACTCTGTTACATATCTGAAACATGGAGGGTGGGAAATCAAACACAGCCAGACATACAACACACAGGAAGGTTTGAGACACAGGGTTGCAGTCGGGTTCAAAGGTCACACAGAGGTCGTACATCTAATCGCGTTCTCTGCTTACCTGGAATTACTGAAATAGTTTTCAAAGCTCTGAGTACCCTGAATGTGCGGAGAGCTGATACATTGCCTATCTTTATAAACTCTGTTACAAACCTGTGGGACCAAATATACAGATACAAATAAAGCGGATGAGCACTGAAGATGCTAGTGGCTTTTATGGGCATTTTATGGAATAATTATAAGTTAAGAATGCATAATTAAAGATTATATCCGCTTCTTAAAACAATGATTAAAATTAAAGTATTGAGTATTTTTAACTCTAAAAAGTAATAGTGTTTAAGTATTTTAATAAACATATAGTGCATACACATATATCAAAAATGAAATATAAAATAACATTTAATATTTAAAAATATATTTTCATTTAAAATAAAATACAATAAACACTATTATAAACAATTGTAAGTATTTTTTGTTTTAATATGGGCTGGCAAAGCAATCAACTTTTCTCTGTGATTTTAAATAGACAAATATGCCAATTTGAGAAGTTTTTGAGAAGTCTTAGCAAAGAAACACATTTTTGAAGCACAAGCTTTTTGGAACAACTTTTTTGAACTCTAAACGTTTTACTCTAAATGTATAAACTATCAATTCAATTCTTTAATAATGCATTTTAAATGTTAGAGACAGAAACCAAGAAAAAAAGAAATGTGCTTCAACCTACAGATTTACATTTATATTTTGACATTTACCAGACACTTTTATCCGCAGCACTCTTATCATTGAAAGCTGACAATAACAACTGAAGATGATAATTTTTGACCACTCAATGGACTAAGAAACGCTAAAGTTGAAGAGTGTAATTTATACGCATTAGCAGCACCTAACAGAATTGCAAAAATAATGAACATTCCCAAATTCCAACTTGCCCCTTCCATCATCATTTTCTGACATGTTTTAAAGTTAAATACTATGAAAAAATGTAGGATGGGACTTTTATCATTAAAGAATTGACTGGATGGTGAAAGTGGGTGTTTCATATAAAAAAAGGAGTAATTTCAGGGGAGGTTTAGGTGATGTCAGTCAAAAAGAAATGTGGTTTTAGAGATTTTACTACATTTTAATGAACGATTGTAAATGCAGAATTTTTTATCTGCAACAGTTTTTACAGATAAATCATCCACGATAAGACAGGAATGTGAATTAAGAAAGTAAACCTGGTCAGCTAGAAACCAGCAAAGTCTTTTTACACTCTTCACCTTTAAAGGCAGGGTAAGTGATTTCTGGTAGCCAATGTTGACATTTGAAATCACCAAAACAAACACACCCCTACCCCAAAAGGGTCTCGCCCCTATTTTGATAGCTGCGCCCCACACATATGTACGCAACCCACGCAACGATTAATTCTGTGAAACAAAGCAAAACCAATGTTACACCGTGTCTACACCAGACGCGAGCGGCGCGACAAAATACTATAGAACTCATTATAATCAGTGATGCTGTCTACACCATAGATATATATACACGACAAATCCCCGACAGAAAACTGCTGCTGCGTTCTATTCACGATGTATTGACACAAATTTAAAATGATTTTCACGCCCCACACATACGTACGCAACCCACGCAACGATTAATTCTGTGAAACAAAGCAAAACCAATGTTACACCGTGTCTACATTAGACGCGAGCGGCACGACAAAATACTATAGAACTCATTATAATCAGTGATGCTGTCTACACCATAGATATATATACACTACAAATCCCCGACAGAAAACTGCTGCTGCGTTCTATTCACGATGTATTGACACAAATTTAAAATGATTTTCAATGGTCGCTTTGTCGCGTCCAGTGTACTAGACAGACTTTAGCTGTTGCAACACAGACACGGTGTTACCGAGAATAAACAAAGCAACCTCGGCGTCCGATCGCAGGCCTTCCGCTCCTTGAGTTCTCTCCAGCGCTGGAAAGCTGATCCGATATTTACCTACTTCTTGCCTTAAGCCTTCTTTTGTTCCGCATACGTTTTCCTCTTTTGTTTTTTATCCGCCATCTCTATCTTTCTGTCGCTTGGCTTGGCTATTGTCCGTCCTGTGCACTGAACTCTCTCCCCTCCACATCATGAGTAGACACGCCCCTTACTGCTGATTGGCTACAAGTTTGTTTTGCTAGTCGGCCCGAATCAGTTTTCTAAAGCGTTTTTGAAAAATCGCTTACCCTCCTTTAAGCCACCTTTAAGCAATGATAATAAATGGATTATAATAATTTATATCAGCGTAGCCGGGGTAAATAACAGATTTGTCATACTTACGCCATGACTATAACCATAAAATCCAACCAGTTCCATGGGTCTCTGAGAAACGTAAACTGTCCCACACAGAATCCCCTGGCGATGATCTTTATGAGCGCTTCAAAGGTGTATATCCCAGTGAAGGCATATCTGTTAAAAACAAGACCCTCAGTTCCTGCACTCAGCAAACATAGTGAACATTTCTACACGATGCTTGAAAAGCAACAAAGAGATCAACTCACTCTACATTCTTGGCCCAGTCTGGAGGCTGTGAGTAGACCATGAAAGCGCAGTTTGCCAGTATAGTGAACATTATAAACATACTGAACAATGTGAAAGCTGCAGTTAAGGAAACTTAGTGACAGAACTGCAGTACCATTCAGAAGTTTGGGGTCAGTAAGATTTTTTTTATAGAAATGAACACATTAAACTGATCAAAAGTTATAGTGCAGACATGTATAATATTACCAAAAAATAAAATCAAATAAATGCTGTTCTTTTGATTTTTCTATTCATCAAATAATCCTGAAAAAATAAATGCATCATGGTTTCCATACAAATAATAAGCAGCACAACAGTTTTCAACATTGATAATAATAAAATGTTTTTTGAGCAGCTAATCAGTATATTAGAATGATGTCTGAAGGATCATGTGACACTGAAGACTGGCGTAATGACGCAGAAAATTCAGCTTTGCGTCACAGGAATAAATTACATTTTACAATATATTCATATAGAAAACAGTTATCTGAAATTGTAATAATATTTCACAATATTACTGATTTTAGTGTATTTTTGATCAAATAAATGCAGCCTTGGTGAGCAGAAGAGATTTTTTCAAAATGATTAACAAATCTTACTGAAATACACACTTGAAATGAAATTTTCCTGCTGTATGGAGTAAAAGAGGTTTAAAGAGGCTTTAGCTAGTAAAATGATAATCCATTTAAAATAGATTTTTTGATAAATGATTGAATCATATAGAGGTTCTCAACTGGTTTTGCTTCAGGATCAGATTTTACATTGGACACGAAGTCATCAAGCCATAGTTTCAGGCTCTCAGCTGCTTATCATTTATCACACAAAGTATGTTTATCCTGAAGCAAACCTTTCTTTAATGCCATTTGGGTCATATTTTTTTTGACCTTGTGTAATTTTGTTAATGGTTTCTGAGAACAACATGTCCATTTGACATCTACATTGATTCATCATGGTTATTTTCATTTAATTATTTGCATTTATTACCAATCAAACATAACAGGCCTACAACTCATTTTTGGGTTGTAAATTATCAATTGAAACCCACTGGATTAAACAGTAAAAACATAAGACCCATCCATCACAGCAAGACAGTCGCCATCTGCATGTTTCAGCAGTTGAGAAGGATATGAATGTACCAAAATCTTAATTGATATTCTCCTCAGAAGGTTGAAGGGACTGAAGATGTACAAGGCAGAAGCGGCGCTGAAACGACTGATTGTCTTTTTTTTGTTCACTACTATAAAAGTCTAAACAAGAGGGAGATGAAGAAGATGAATACATTAAAGGTGGGCAAAACAGTCAGCAAAATAAATATAAAATAAATATGTGTGTGTGTGTGTGCATGTTTATGTGGTTTATGAGGACACAAATTTGTATAATAACATGGGTATGACATTGGTATTACAACGAGAAGGTGATTTATGAGGACATTTTCAGTGTCCCCTTAATTCAAAAGGCTTATAAATAATTCAGAATGAGTATTTTTGAAAATCTAAAAATGCAGAAAGTCTCCTGTGAGGGGTAGGTTTAGGGGTAGGGTTGGTGTAGGGCAATAGAAAATACGGGTTGTACAATAAAACATGCACAACAATAACATAGAATATGTTTAGTTCTTCTTAATTTGCATTTGAAAACATTATTTGTTGAACATTTTCTTATTTAATTATTGATCATGAAATAGCTTTTTATATTATTAAATCAAGTCTTTTTCAAATTTTTTTTTACATGTTTCAAATTTCAAAAACATTTATAAAGTTTCTTTCCAAGTCTTTCTTTTTACATTTTTCTAAGATTTAAACTTTAATTCCCAGTTTTCAGGGTGATGCTTTGTACCCCTTGCAGTGCCTGTGGACTCTCATGGGTTCGTTGAGAAATATAAATCCAAACTCACTGCCCGATTGCTGTAGAACTGGTCCAGGTCCTCCAGTGGTGTGGACACCAATCCTCTGGGAACGTCTCCGTATATGAAGGGCAGATTTTTCCCGGCCTCCAGGCCGCTGTTGGGTTTCCTCCTGCATTCATCGTCTTTATTTTTCTCGTGCTTGTCCTTGGACTTCCTGGCGTTCTCCTCAGCGATCCGACTCTCGATGGCCTTAAGAGATTCACGGGTGAACTTACGGAAACTTTTAGGTCCTGGTGGAGTAAACGAATGCGCCATTTTCTCATCCTGAACATTCAGAGTGATTCTCTACACGTCTGCATGAGAAACAACTGGTAGAACCACAAAGAAAGAGAGAAAGAGTGAGTCAGAGGGACAGAAACTCATTAGATGTGATCGGTAACTGTATGGTTAGCTTTCTATAAAATCCTTCCGGAACCACAAAGAGAAACAGCATCCTATTAGTGATGGAAATGCCTTGCCATATTCTAAACCATTAGAGTTATCAGAAACAGAGCTCTCAAGGAATCAGGGTTATGTATACCACACAAATACTTTTCAGTCCCACCCGACTTAAACAGGACCTTAAACCTACTAATAGCTTATGTCCATGTAGTTCAACTAGTAGAGTGTGGTACAAGCAATACCTCATGGGTTTGATTCACAGGGAATACACATTCTTATAAAAAAATGATACATTTACACTTTTAGTTGTTTTGGATAAAAACATCCACTAAAGGCATACATGTAAATTTAATTACATTTGTGTAAACAATCTTCATTACATTAATTTAATTTATTTAAATGTAAGTGAATGATATATGTTAGTTAAATAATTGCATTTAAATAAATTATATATTTTAAACAAATTAAACTTAATTATACATATACTTTTTACATTTACATTTAAATACATTTTACATTTCAAGCAAATGTAATTAATTAAATTATATATTATTTTTCTAAATAGTATATATAATTTTTTCATTTGTTTAATTTACTTAAATTAAATTTGTCCTAACTGATGGACCAACAACATCCCTTACTTATCAACCAGCATCCAAAACACAACATTTACTAGTCAACCAGCACACCTGCGCTCCAGCACCAGCATTATTTATGAGGTTCAGGCCCTTTTTGGTCACTTGACTTAACAGTTTTTTTTTTTAAAGAAATGTCCCTCGGCCCGCTGAAAGACTTTAGCTAAGTTCAAATTTCCATGCTGGTCTAATGTATGGTGTTGCTGGTTAAAGGTAGGGTAGGCGATTTCGGAGAGGCTAGCAATAGCAAGCAAGCTTTGAAAGCATAAGATCTCACCCTCCCTGCAAATCACTCTCCAAAGTAGAGGTCGACCGATAGTGGATTTTGCCGATACTGATAGCTAGGTTGGACCACACTGGCCGATACTGATTAATTAACCGATTGTTTTAAAATTGATACTGAACAAAACTAAAATAGTGCTTTATTAACAAAACCAGTACTGAACCATACTAGTAGTAGTAGTAAAAATAATAATGATAATAGTTAATAGTAAATGTTGAAATTAACACACTCTAACAAGGAACAATACTTACACAGCTTTCATTAATCTTAATGCTACAAATGGACTCTTATTTTAAAGTGTTACCATTTAATTTAAACTGTCATGCTTAAAGATGCACATCTTTAAATATATACACAAAGGCTATAGCATTAAAATTATATACAAATGGATATTGTATGTATACTCTCAGACTTGAACTGCTTCTATTCTTGAACACTTGATGATTATCTAATCAAAATAAAAGCGCAGCGCTGAGTCTAGGAGAACTCACCGGTATCACACACAATCCGGACGCATCGCATTCAACTCAAGCAGCGCTCTAAAACAGTTGATTTAATCCAGGACCAATATAATGTAATTTAAAGGAAAACTATGTGAATGGCGTGGCAGGATTTTCTGTCAGCTGCAATTAAATCCGCATCTGAAGTTTCCAGCTCTGTTCAGCGTGCAGTATCACGTGTCTAAACAAATAGCACGTGCCGTCAATGATTTCAACCACTAGAGGCCGCTCTCGTACTGTATAATGACAGCAGACCCTTCTCAGCCGCTCCAGCAATGGACGCAACCCAGGAAAACTATCGCCATGGATTTTTGACGATAACCGATAGTTCCAGCAATCAACTATCGGTGCCAATTAATCGGCAAAACCGATACATCGGTCGACCTCTACTCCAAAGCCACGCCTCCTCCAAAACACATGACCGCGCACAGGCAGACCAGAGGCTAACCAGCGTTGGTGGAGGAGACGGCGTTGGTGGAGGATTTAATGCAACACTGTCAGATTACCTCATGTATGAGAAAACTTCCACAGACAATATAAGTACATATAAATACATTTAGAGCACTTAACTTAGTGATTGATATCGGGATGTGAAGAGACTTTCAACCAGCATAACAAAAAATGTTTCTGAACTAAATCACCTACCCTGTCTGCCTTTAAGCTGCTAATTTGGATCAGCATTTGGAGCACACATCATGCTCATGTAACAAAGGATGTTATAAATTCACTGTAAACCACGGCTTATTGGGGCTTATTGCTTTAGTAAAGGCAAAATGCTGACTTGGCCTGAAAGTTCAAATCAAAGCATAAACATTATGAACATTCACTCCATGGGATATTGATTGATTTTTGTCTGCAACAGGAAAACTGTACATCCGATAAATTACAAAAAAATAAAAATAAAAAGCCCACCAATTCAAAGTGAGGCACTGTGCTAATCTTGATGGACATCACTTAAAAGCTTAAAAAGAAAGTCCCTTTAAGGTACTGCAAATAAGCGGCCATATTTGTTACTCCCCAAGGCAGCTACTTGAATGGGGTAAGAAATCCCATAACTGTTTGCCAAAATTTAGTTTTCAAATCAGGAATAAAATCTGACAATGGTAGAATAAATTAAGTGCTTCCTAAGCTCAAATCACGTAAAAATTCTAGAAAAACCAACAGGCAAATACTATGGAATATGTAATGGTCAACTATTGGAAAACTGTAAAGTAAAGAACATCAGAAGTAATGTTGTCAAAAGTACCGGCACTTCAGTACTAAGTCAATACCTACATTTTAAAAACGTAATGATACCAGCCTTTCCACAGTACCGGTATAGTACCGATTTGCTGATAGGTGGCTGCTTTCAAATGCTCCTGTATTTATGTGAGTGTCTGTGAAGAGCATCAAAGGTTTCAATTTACAACGTGTTTTTGCAGCGCTGAGCATTGTTGCCAATCACAGATATGTTTGTTGAGCATGATTCTCTTATTTCAGATAAATCACTATAAGCCTAACCACTGAAAAACATCTCTTCTGATAGGATTTCACTAGAAAACACGGGTCATATGATGCGATTTCAATTTTTCCTTTCTCTTTGGAGTGTTACAAGCTCTTGGTGCATAAAGAAGATCTGTAAAGTTGCAAAGACTAAAGTCTCAAATCCAAAGAGATATTCTTTCTAAAAGTTAAGAGTCAGCCACACCTACCTAAAACGCCTCGTTCTAACACACCCCCACATGTCTACGTCACTATGTGGGAAGATTTGCATAACGCCGCCCAAATGTTCACACAAAGAAAGAAGGCGTAACTTTTATTCTCGCTGTAGTATTGTTGCTGCCGCCGCCGCCATGTCGGGAAGAGCTGTGTGCTTCGTTGTGAAAGCGAAACTACTTTGTTTGGTCTTCCAAAAGAGGACGATATCTGCTTCGTCATGCCTAGAGCTGATCTGTGCTGGTTGCTGAGGAAATACATTAACTTCGCGTTTCGCGTCGCCGGATCGGTTTTCACCGTGGACGAAG